ACAATGATTGAAATTTTCATGACAGAAGCAGCCCAAAATCTAATCCAAGGAGCCCAAACTAAGTAAATAGAGGAAGCATTGTTTTGGGCTTAGTAGAGGAAGGAGATAGCATAGAGACTGTGTTAGGAGCCATAATTATTAAAATATCACTGAAACCAAATGACACAAATAATCAACAACATGATGACCACAAATAACACACCTATTTCAAAAGCAATTTTAAATATCAGTGGAATCAGTTGGTCTGTTTGTCTGTTGTTCTGTCAGTCCATCTTTCCCACTCCCCTTCTTGTTCACTCTCCTCCTCTCTTTCCGTCTTTCTTTCTCTGTCCTCTTTCCTTTCATTCTCCCTCTCATTCCTTAAATGGTTATTTTTAAGCGTGTGGCCCATTTAATTAGAGCTTAAGATAACACTCCCAGAGAAAGCAAGCTGTACATCTTAGCAACTTCCCCAAAGAGGAGAATGAAGGTGAGAAAGAAGTCATGCTGTTTGAGTAAAATCAGCATGGAGATTAAGTGCATAGTAGATGTGGTTATTTGAGTGAGAATTTTCCCCACATGATCTGTCATTTGACCTATTGGTCTACAGCTAGTGGTGATGACTGGATAAGTTAAGGTTGTGTGATTTTGCTGGAGGAGAGCTACTAGCTTCTGTAGCTTTTACCATGCCTGCCACTTCCCACCATCATGGATACTTATATCTCTGAAACCATAAACCCATAAAGCACCCTTACTTCTATGAGATGCCTTGGTCATGGTGTTTTATCAAAACAACAGGAAAGTGACTAATACAGAGGACAATGAACCATGTGGGAGGGAGAGGAGTGTTAGGGGAAGAGTAATTAAGCCAGAAGCTCTAGAGAAAGTAGGCTTTAGGCTCCAGTCACCATCTGAAAAAAGAACCAAAAAGAAGAACAAGAAAAAAATAGGCCATTTTATACAAGGAGTCAGAAAGGTTGAAAAACCCAATGAAATCTCATAGCAGATTTCTGGACCTACTGCTGTGGTATTCAGACCCATGACTTTGGCTTTAGAGGTTTCTATAGGAAACTTTAATTCTGCTGGCCATCTCTCCTAACAAATTAGAGCAGCTGGTCTGAGGTTCTCACTGTTACTTCACCAAATTTATAGGAATGTCTATTTTTCTTAAGGTAGATTTCTCAACTCATCCTCAAAGTGTTTTGTAATTCCATCAAATTGCCAAATTCTGGTCCAAAGAATGGAGCCCAGATCCTGGCAAACATGAACCTTTTGTAGGAATTTTGCTTTGTTGTTTATAAATGGTTTCTTTGGCCTTTGTAAACTTAATGTGAGATTCTAATGATTGCCTCTGTTTCTAGGAAAAGAGGCCTCAATGGTGATATGGCAAGGTCAAATGTAAGCTGTTTGGAAGAAACTAAACCATATGGTGATCACTTTGTCCTTTGAAGTCTCTGGGAGAGCTTTCTAAGTAAAGAGGTAGTGTCAGGAAGGACGTGGAAAAGTTTATGTACACTCAGTGTACAGCCCTTGTGTCTGCTCTCAAATCTTTCTTTTGCTGGCAGTAGGGGTTCCAACCACACTTCTGCCTTAAATGCTCTTACACTGTGCTTCTGAGCAATTTGTTAGAATTACAAAACACTTTGAGCATGAGTTGAGAAATCTACCTTCAGAAATAGACATTCCTAAGACCTTGGTGAGGTAACAGTGAGAGCCTTAGACTGACTGCTCCAATTTGTTATGAGAATATTCTCATCTCACCTGTATACACACCACTTTTTACTTTTACATGGTCATCATTATTACAGAGCAGTGCACTATATAAAATTGATTCATTTCCCCCCTTTACTCCAGGAGTTCAGGAAGAAGCACTAGACATATCGGCTATCCCCCTGAGTAAAAAGTATAAACATCCAATGAATATGATAGCTAAGAACTTCAGGTGTTCCTACTCAATACTATATGCCAATCTAGGTGGCAAGAGAGAAAAAACAGTTTGTGTCCTGCTTCCTCATTCATCTAGTTCACTGTGCTCACCCAGTGCTACCATATATATCACAGTAATAGACAGCTTCATCCTCAAGCTGGAGGTTGGAGATGCTTAAGTAGCGATGGGCCTCAGAGCTGGAGCCAGAGAAGCGATCAGGGATCCCATCTCCCTTGCTGTGGCTTCCATCATTATAAAGATACATCACATATTTAGGAGCCTTGTCTGGATGTTGCTGGTACCATCTAATGGGGTAGGTGCTGTACTGACTACTCAAGGTGCAGGTGATTTTGACTGAGGCTCCCAGGGAAGCAGAGGCAGAGGGTGACTGAGTCAGCACAGGTTGGGAGAAAGACCCTAAAAATAGAAAATCACATTATGTCCCAGGGTAAAAGATGAGGGAAGAGCCGAGCATTGGTGGTGCACGCCTTTAATCCCAGCATTCAGGAGGCAGAGGCAGGCAGATCTCTATGAGTTTGAGGCCAGCCTGGTCTCCAGAGCGAGTGCCAGGATAGGCTCCAAAGCTACACAGAGAAACCCTGTGTCGAAAAACAAAAACAAAAAGAAAAGATGACGGAAGAATGTATCTGGCTGTCAGATGGTTTCGCTGAATTGGGATCAGGGTTCAGATGACTACTGACCTGTACAATGAAGGAGGAAGAAGAGAAGTGGAGTCCAGGCCATGGTGCAGAAAATACTGAGCTCTGCTGAGGCAGACATGGTGTAGGTCTCTCTTATCCTTCAACAATTCTCAGAGAACTGAGGGGACCCTTCATGCAAATTTGTCTTGACCAACCAAATCCCATCTTAGGAGAGTGTGTCCTCAAATATCTGTGTGTCATTTCCTGCCTGAGAATACCCAAGGGCTGCAGTGCCCCCAGCTGCTGGTCCTGTTGAATCCTGAACAGTCATAAAGAGATATATATGTGTGCTCTCAACTCAGTGTCCAGATTCTTCAGAGGAACTTATAAATCCCCACTGAGCCTGTTTAGGACTATTGTGTTGGTGTCCACATGACTTATCCCAGGCTGTGATTATCAAACACTTTCTGATTAAGGCCAGAAGGACTTGCCTGCTCTTGGCACAGCATGTAGGCTTGAATTTATGATTCAAGAAGGGCTCCTTCTCCAGGCCCTTCTCCCATACAAACAGGACACAGTTATATCCTCCATGAGTCACTTCTCAGATTGCACAAGAAGCCAACCCCTCAATGTTTTCTCAGCAGACTGATCCATAGAGACATAACTGGTGAATAGGAAGAAAAATACTATACTGCACAACTCTCTTAATACATGAGAAATATAAAATTTTAGAAAATTACAAGACAAAACAAAACAAATTTACAGAAATATCACAAACAGGAATGTGAAAGAAAACTTGTCATCAATTACGGATCAGTGAAGAATTACTGTGTGGTTCCAAGGAAATACATAAAAGCCTGCCTATTAATTATCTGTCATAGAAATCATATCTAACTGGCACAGTTTAAAGGGATTGATTATCAGAAATAGGGACAGCTAAATATATGCAAAAATTATTGAATCAAGATAGAAGAAGTCATTGGTGAGAGAGAGCAAGAGGAACAACAGTCGGGCTTGCTGGATTATGCTCCAGTTTATCCGTGTTTGAGGAAGTCATACTACTTGAATTTTTCTTGTTAAACCCCTCTCCTCCAGACCCTAGGAATTTTCAGATGTGGAAAGAGACAGATATTGGGGTTCCAACTGAAGATTAGAAAAGCAAAACAGCTAAGCCAGTAGCTCTTACTTCTTCCAAGCTGAATAGGCAATCCTGTCTCCATGAATCCTCAGAGTACAATGAAGACTATTCTTCTCTCCACCAATCCTCTGGCTGCAATCCTGAGTTCCTGTCCTCTCCTGCCCTATATTCTTTTCTCCATTCAGTCATAGCACTCCTGTCTACAACTCCCAATGCTGGGATTAAAGGCATCAGATCCCAGATTTGGGGATTAAAGGCTTGAGCTCTGTTACTCTTTAGACTGATTCACTCTCCCATAGCCCTGGATGGTTTTGGACTCACAGAAATCCTTCTGCTTCTATCTCCTGAGTCCTGGAGTCCTTGGCTTCTATGGTTAGCTAGTATGGCTTTTGGAATTAAAGATGTCTGTTACCACTCCCTGGTTCTATGTCTGTTGCTAGCTTTGCATTTTAATCTCTTGTGGCTTTATTAAATCATGAACAATACATCACCAAATGTAGATAACTCCAACAAAAGAGTATCTTCCAGATATATCAGAACTGATTCACATGTGAATTCACAGAGACTATGACAGCAAGACCCACAGATGCAGGAGCCATGTGCATCTTGAGCTTTAACAAGTATTGATCTAACACAGGCTACAAACCCCTGTGGTTTCTGTTGCAAACTTCCTGATCCCTCTTTTTATTCTGTTTCCTACTGCCATGTACAAAGAACTTTCCAACACCCATTCTGTGCATTCCATGTATGCTAAGATTAACTTTCTTAAGGTTTCCCACTAAAAATGATAGGCATGTCCCTTGGTTTCATGAAACTTACAAAATATTCAAAACTTGGTTTAGAATAACAAGGCAGTGCTTGCATGCTCACACATAAACAGCTGGAGATTTTGAAGGAGGATCTTCTCCTACATACTGCACTTCTTTGTCTTTTGCTTACAGTATTACTATATTGGAACAGGAAGATATATTTTTGCTTAACATTAGAGTTTAGTTTTAGTTATAAAACTAGAAATATGAGCCAGTATTTCAATATCCCTGAGGATAAAATATAAATCAAGATGAAAGAAATGTGAAAATTCAGAAATAATTTACAAATGATTGCTTAGTTTATTAGTTCCCTGGGTTGACAATAACAACATACAACAAACTGTGTGGGCTAGTACAAGCAAAACATCTTATCTCACACTGATTTATGGAGGAAATACTGACAAAATTAACATACTAATCTATCACCCTGTGGCACTGCTTCCTTCCCTCCTCTATCCCTCTTGATTGTGAACAATCTTTGGTGATCATTGGTCCACAGGTACAAAGCCCGATATGCACATCAGTCTTCACATGTCAATCCTCACTACCTTGCTCTGTTAGCAAAGCTATCTTATGAAGGCACAGGGACCTCATTGTGCTTCAGCATGAGCTCACCTGACTAAAGACATCTGTAATAGTACCTACAGTCTTATAAATAAGATTGCATACAATGACAATCAGGTTTATCACATCAACAGATTTTCCTTAGGGGGAAATATGTTAACCTAATGTCAGAGGCAAGATTATTTCATGTTTGTGTGTATATGTTTATGTCTTTATATATTTTTATTTACCACTTCATATCATTTGAAAACTATACAATGTACTTGCATTGCTAACAAATAAAAGATAATATACCAATGGTTAGAAAATATGAATGAACAGTTACTTCACTTTGATGTAAATTGTAGAAAGAACGTCATGGAGAATGCTTCTTTCCAAGGCCTATTGACTCTAGTCTTACAAACAAATACATCTAAGGAAGGAAGAAAATATATGCAATCTCATTTTACCCTTTATTCTCTATCAAAATAGCTGACCAATATCTTCCCTTATATAAATCTAATTGGATCAAAAATGAAGGCAGATGCTTCCCTTTACCTTTTTGTCTCTGGATAGTTAACATTAGGATAGAACAGGACAGGGCATGTACCCAGGCTCAGATAAATGCATGTTTACGTCTTGCTTCTCCTTGTGTGTCTCACTGTGCTGAGCATCACTGTAGAGTAGCATGCAGTAGACTTCAGAATTGTCCTCAGGCTAGTAACCCTAGAGTCCCAGGGCAACCTTATGTTTAAGGTAAAAAGTGGCAGGAGACTGTGAGTGCCTGTAAATTGTTGGGTGAATCAGAGCATAACGGCTTGGTAAGACTACTATGGAATCAGTGTGGAAAGAGGATCAGTAATTGCTAGAGAGTATCATTCTCAGCATCACCACAGCTCAGAAAGAGACCCTGAAAAGACATAGCTGATCAGAAAGGGTCAAGAAATGAACTTGATAATTCCAAAGGCAGTCCTCTTTAATCTCCATGATACCTGACAGTCATGGAGGAAAAGCTGGGAAATGTGACATGCCTCCAGGTCATGCTGTATATTTTATTACTTCCTTAGATATATTTGTTTGTAAATTTCCTGATATCCCCAGGACCCACAGGTGCTGTTGGAATCTGTGGTTCCCCAGGTATTGGGGAAATGGTGTTTCTCTTGATTTTCCTACCACTATCACCACCTCATTACATCTCTGCAGCCCAAGGACAACTCTACTGCCAGAGAGGCTTGGACACATTTGAGGAAACACCTGCTGAGCTGCAACCTCTAATTCCAGCCAGTAACCTTGGATCAGGAGATTAAATGTGAGTCAGGAGTCAGCTTCAGGTCTTGTCAATTTCTGAGATGTATACACTGCCCTCTGCTGGATTATGGATACTTTCCTAAATATCTTCAGAAATGAGTTTCCCTTCCCCAATTATAGGTACCTTCATTCCTTTTCAAAATTGCTATTAATTTTATATTTTTAAACAGAAATATACTGTCATTTTAATTTTCATTGCTTGTATGTCTTCTGTGCTGTGTTTTGATTATTCTTTTCCCTCTGATTCAAAAATATCTGCAATTGTTCTTCAATAGGTTTGTATGCTTTTCAAGTAAAAATATCTTTACAGTATTGTTAGAGATCCTGATCCAGCTCAGAGTTGGTTGGTGTATTTTACTCATCCACACTGTGAATTTTCTGCTGTATAATAATAAGAATGATGTATTCTGTTTTGAGTGTTGTGACACAGATTTCTCTAGAGTTCATCAAAAGAAATGATATAATATCTGATTTTTGGCCCATTCATGTCTTTCCAGAACTGTTTGTTTTGTCTTTTGGGGGAATATGAGACACACTTTGCTTTGGGAATATTTAGTTTCAGATTATTAGACATTAGTAACCTCTGGGGACATTTTTTCCACCAAGTGAAGCTCTAGACTTGGCTCAAATTTAATTAATTAATGTTGTTTAATGTTAGAGAATACCTGGCTGAAGGTTTGACTGTGAAATGTTCTGCCATCTTGAGAGTATGTGTTACTCTGATTGTCTGAATGCTATGCTCTATAGAATGAGAGGGAGAAAAAAAGAAAGAATTATAAGCCTGGAGGTGTGGACCAGTCATGTTTAAGATCCAGAGGTGAAAATAAAAGTACTTTTGAAGTACTAAAAAATAAATTTTATATTTTTTGTTTTTAATTTTATTTTTATTATAAATTATTTGTGTGCATGTGCTCTCTCTCTCTTTCTCTCTCTCTCTCTCTAACACACACACACACACACACACACACACACACACACACACACACACACACACACACACAGAA